ATGCTTTAAAAAAATGGCATTAGCTAAAACAGTGCTGGGTGTAATGCAATACTAAGCAATTAATTACTGTAAAAAAAAAATGTAAAATGTATGTTTCTGATGCAATTTTCTCCCCGATTTTGGTCCGTTCAAGAATAATTTATGCAATTTTAGATTACTGAAAGAATTAAAAGAGAAGTGTCTATACTTGTATTGTTCAGTTAATTACTTTGTAATTTAATGCATTGCTAAGTAATTAATTACTGTCATTTAAAGGTGAAAAAGGTCAAAAGTCAAAAATAATCAAAAAGTAATTTTAAGTAATTTACTGTAATTTAAAGGTGCAAAGTTCAAAAGTAATCTAAAAGAAATCAAAAAGTAGTCAGATTATATTACCTTAAATATAGGCTAATGTATTACAAAATGTAATGTAATGGATTACGTTACTAACTACAATCTTTGTTGTGTAATTTGGAAACAGTAACGGACCACAATTTGCAAGTACACTGTAAAAAATGATTGTGATTTTAACAGTAAAAGACTGTAAAAATGCTACAGTAAAAACCTGTTAACTGGTTAGCAGTAAGTTTCCATACTATATTCGGTGAATAAATGTAATTACATTTAATGTAATTTTACAGTAAAATAGGTAGGCTAATCTACTAAGGTGATCCTAAGGTGATCAGCTCTTGCCTTTTTGTTTTTTATCGAAAACATGCGTCAGTGGAGAAATGCGCTCTCAATTCCACCTTCCGTTTATCGACGGGTCTGGAAATATCAATTGGCAGGTGTCAAGACTACGAATGAGGTTCACATCCAGGCATTTGTGCGTGGGTCACGCTGGTTAATTAATCTTCTGCGGACGGAACAAGTCAATGTGAGGTTTTACAGCCACGTTGAGATCTATGCAATCACCCCCACCCCCTACAACGGTCAAAATAACCTTAAATGGGCTTTCATGGCAGAAAACGGTGAATAGAGGTTTCTGAGTGGATCTTTGACAAGCACAACTGGGGTCTGGACTTCAGGCAGATTGGTTGCTATGGAGACAGCGCCCCTGCAGCACACTAATGGCAGGCGGCGTTGTGCAGATAAGCACAGTGCTAATCATAGACTTTTGTCCTGAGATGTGTTGTGCCCCTGTCTGACGGACCCCGCCTGCCAAATGTCTTTGGCTGGTCTCCTCGGGTACATTTAAATCTATCCTTCCTTAAAATTCTCCCCTTCCACAGTTGTTTTCTCGGCCCGCTGAGAAATGCAGAACAGGAGCGGAGAATTGAACAGCAGAGATGACTTATGTGTAGCACACTAAGAGCTCGTTTTTAGCTATTAAAATATTAATAACTCAAAGAGGTCTAGCCTATGAAAAATGTGTATATCTATGAAACATCCAGTCAAAGTATATCCTCAGAAAACACTGTAGGCCTATTCTCTGTGTGATTGTGCATCTGTTGTTAGGAAGGCTCTGGAAGCACTAGGCTATTACATAACTTTACCGTCATCATATTGAACACAGTTGCTCGAATCACAAAGAACAACCTTGTTTACGCAGTTGTGAAAAGCTAGACATGACTAATGCTCCCTCTTCGGTGAAACAGATGCTTTTTCACTGTGTTAGAATGCCAATATCGCTCAACATTTTCTCTAATGTCATTCAGAGACTAATTAAAGGCAAGCTCTCGTACACTAACAAGTCAAGGGGGATGTTAAAAAACATTTCAAGGAGAAGGGAAGGACATTAAACGTACGTCCACTCGAAATTCACATCATTTCATGCCTCTCTGTAATCTTACAACATAGCCTACTCGGACTGCCCGGAGTTTCGGCGTTTTTCAGTCATTTCCGGGAACATGCAGCAGGCCCTCTGGAGTACTGAGAGGTATTATTCAATCATCTTTAGCCAGATGTGATGGGCAACCCGCTACAGAGGGGGCAAAACGTCCTCATCTATCTCATTACATCTCTCATTGCTTTAATTACGTGTCACAGGTCGCCGTAGTTGAAACTCTATTCAACGAGTAGACGCTGCCTGCAAGGACGGTCACATTATGTAGATGACGCCGCTAAAAGGATAAACGGAAGACTTCTGACCTTGAGATCCTTTCATACACTTAAAAACATGTGTAACTTTAACTTAAGTTGCATGGGAAATTGAAAAGATGGTAAAAATGCTACTACACTGTAAAAATCGAATCGAATTACATTTAGTCCATGCTGTTTTAGGTAAATAATGCGTACTGTGCCGACAAAATAGTCAAATAACCTACAACATTTACCAAAATGTGAAGTGTGCTGTGCAACAACATACTGTTTGTGGTTCTTTTGTTGAATAAGTAGGCTAATTTCTAGCCGTTAAAAAAATAATAAATGTCAAAAATTGCATACTGTCTGAATAAGTACTACATTTGAATTTGAACTTACTTCTCAAATGTTTATAAATATGTTTTATATAGTATGAAAATGGGTGGTATGAATGAAATTCGGATGTACTACTTTCTCCATGTTGTTACTGTCACGTGACCTACCAGCATCAGTTGCATTGCCATTCTTAATCCTCTTCCGTGGCCTCGCGGGATAGTAAAGTGTCTAGCGAATGCGCGCTTCAGAATCTCGGCGGAAATAGTAGGTCATCCAGGTACTTTTCACCTACTATTTTTAATAGCCTACTGTGCAGTATTCAGTATGTAGCAAGCTATAGTTCCATTGTCATTCCAATAATTACTTTGCATATAATCTACATAAAAACGCATCCTAGACAAACAGTGTTCGCACAAATATTGTTCTAACAAGTCTGTTTGTTGTCTGAGAGGTCTAAACAAACAAAACAGTTGCTGTTTTGATAAGGGCTTGTGAGCACCCAGCATGCATTGCAGCATGAATAATTTATTAAGTTGTTGAGTGTACTGAAACATCTCAGTGCATCATGTTGCTGTCAGAATGAGAGTCCTAACGGCTGATAAAAACATCACAATAATCCACACCACTCCAGTCCATCAATTACATAAGTTAACGTGGACTCTTGTGAAGAAAAACTCTTTCTTTGGAGGACTTTTTCACTGGAGAAAGCATTATTATGGATTTTTTTAAACAAATGTGTGGATTACTTGTGATGATAATTGTGATGTTTTTATCAGCTGTTTGGACTCTCATTCTGACGGCACCCATTCACTGCAGAGGATCCATTGGTGAGCAAGTGATGTAATGCTACATTTCTCCAAATCTGTTCTGATGAACAAACAAACTCATCTACATCTTGGATGGCCAGAGGGTGAGTACATTTTCAACAACCTTTTATTTTTGGGTGAACTACACCTTTAAACTGCCAGTTCTGGAAGATACTCTAGGGGGGAACAAAATATATGCAGTGAAATTTTTCTTCACAGCACCACAATGTCTAACAACTCAATAGAGCAATGCACAGGAAATAAGATCTCCCTCAAATGTCTCTGTGTTGCATTTCATCGCTTTCACAGTCTGCCACAGCCAATGTTGGCAATTATGTGCAAATTGCACATAAAGTCTCACTTTCAGATTTTCTTGTCAGTGAAATGAAAAAACACAGGAGGCATAAATGACCCACTAAGGGCATTTTTCACATTTGTGAAAAAAGAAATCTCTTGATGCATTGATTATAATGACTTTCAATGTGATAAACAAAGTGATGTGTGCCTGCGATGCTTATGAAATGATTAACATACTGTAGGTAGGTGCGGTAAACAGGAGAGAGGCTGAAACGGCAGCTTGGAAATTCATGTTCATGTTCATTAGCTTTGACTTACAGATGTATCACAAATCAATAATGTGCACTTTAATTGCCTGAACAATTAACACTAATATATGAATAATATTAAGAAAATGTGCGCATTATCACTTGCAGTAGAAGATTTTTTTATAGGACCGGGTACTATAAGATATTTAACACGGTATGAACTAATATGGAAACTAGAGGGAGAGTAAATTATATAAAGACTTTTCGTAATATTACCACACACATAAAGCAGACTATTTAATAAAATACAGACAAATAACAAAGGCAACAGAAAAATAACAAAGTAAGAGCATAAACTTGCTTTATGGCACGTATGTTTGCATTCTTCCCAAAGACTCATCATTTCTCATTCTTACAAATAAATGACCCCTTGTGGACACAGGAAGAAATTGCATATACAGAAACAGATGAACTTCCTGTTGGGAGTTCAGACATCTTTATGCCGAACTAAACGCGAAAGGACTAAGGTCGTTTAATAAAAAATAAATAAATCAATTAAAACTGTAAGTCATGAGACAACAACAACCTTTCCAAATAAGAAAACTGCAATCCAAATAGAAATGCATCATTAATCAAGGGGACACCAAGGTAAAAAAAAACATTTTATATGAAACTGATCTAAATCGCCAGTCAAAAGTTTGGATCATGTTGTTAATCATTAAAAAAATAAAATAAAAAAACACTACAAATTACAAATACTTCTCGTTTATTGAAATAAAATATGGGAAAACTTTTATTTAAAATACCTATATTAGAAATGATGCCTTGGCAACCAACTGAAATTAAAAAGGTTAAAGTTTAAGTACTAAAATGACTAAAACTTAAAAATTAATTAAATCTAAATGATAGAAATATAAAAAAATAATAAAGATGACAAAGCACGGAATGAAATTACACTACTACAAAATTTCTTAACTAAAATTAGAATGAAACATGAAAACATTAAAATAAAACCAGACTCCAAATTAATTTATACTATAATAGTAAAACAACACTGGCTTGCACACTTTATTTCCACTTTCCACATTTTATAATAGAAAAGTCATTGAAACTATTAAACAACCATTATTCAAATTAAAATATTAGCTTTGTAAAGAAATTCATACACATGGCACCATTTATGTTTCTCTTAAAACTAATTTCAAGCATTAAATTAAAATGTTTTTAGGGTCATGAGAAACAAATACAGTCAGGCATGTCTACACCTTTGACCAGAATTTAATGATCCTGAATTAAAACACAAGAGTCAAAGTCAGAGTAAGCATGTTTATTAGGTGTAACCGGACCAAACTCAAAAAGTATACTCCAATAATTTAAGTAAACTGTTTTTTTTTTTAGGAATTGTTAAAATAATGTGTCCCACACCAGGAGGACTGTTACATCTCCTGTACTTCTTTGCAATAAGACAAACATGAATGAGGTCAAGACGTCTCTGGAATTCTGGGATGCAACGCTGCGGTGGAGGCAGCAGGATCAGTGAGGAAGCTCATGAGGCACAAGCTTGTAATGAGAGCCGCATGAAGGACAGCGCTGGGCTTCACCCTCATGGAGCCAGAACCAGACCACAGCAGTGTTGTCCTCCTCACCTGGACAGACACACATACATGTGCTTAATACAACCTCTAACAAAATGAACTATGACATCAAGTACCTAGAATCAAGAGTTTTAACTTACAGACACAGCCAACAATTCTTTTGTTGGTGATGGAAGGTACAAGATGAGGGTCCGACTTTGACCCAGCATACTCCTTGGGCTTCAGCATGTTGAAAGGATCCTGGGAAATGGAAGAACATGATATCAGTCAGTCATTTTGGAGAATTTGTTTGAAATGTGCTTTAAAGGGATCGTTCACCCAAAAATGAAAATTAGCCATGATTTACTCACCCTCAAGCCATCCTATGTGTATATGACTTTCTTCTTTCAGACAAATACAATCAGAGTTATATTAAAAAAATGTCCTGGCTCTTCCAAGCTTTATAATGGCAGGGAATGGCTGTTGAGATTCAATAGTTCAATAAACTGCGTCCATCCATCATAAAAGTGCTCCACACAGCTCTGGGGGTGTATAAAGGCCTTGTGAAGCGAATCGATGCTTTTGTGTAAGAAAAATATCCATATTTAAATCTTTATAAACCATAATCTCTAGCTTGCAGGGTTCCCACTCTTTCATGAACACCAGATTCAAGGACTTTCAAGGACTTTTTAAAGCACCATTTATTTTTTATCAAGCACCTATCAAATTCACACCCCAGAATATGTAGTGTCATGAAAGACCTTACAGTACTTAACATTTCACTTACACTTAACATTTACATTAAAAATTTCAGAGTAATAATGTTTTGAATGTATAGGTTTCATAAATTTAGACCGTTTTGAGCAGTTGTGTTCAAATGACTTTAATAAAAATCCATTGAAGTCAGTACTGGTGATAAATAAAATTTAATTTCTAAAATATTGATAAAATATGCATCAAACTGATTTTTGCTGTAGTTCTTGTACAAGATTTAAATTTGAAAGAATTTCTCAATTTTTAAATTAATAAAAAGTGGTTAAATGTTGTAATAACATGGTAATATGTACTAACATTAAAAATTAGCACATTCACTCAAAAGATACGTTACTCATTAATAAAAAACTCAAGTCAAAATAATTTTGTAAATTACTTTTTATTGTAAATCCCATTTTTTCATCTTTGACCTAGGAATGCAGCTCAAACATGCAGCTGCTCAAAACGTCAGTATTTTTTGAAAATATTTAATGAACATTTTAAACCTTGTACATGTGCAAATCTGCAACAGACGTTTAATGAGGCTCAGAGGTGGCATGAGTGCAATTAAATTCATACATTTATGTGGAGATGTTTTAAATATAAAATTTTGAATACAGAAATATTAAATGATTTAAATAACTGAAATTATACGCAAAAAATTTAACTAAATCCGCCAGCAGGTGGTGACAAGTCACTGATTTTATCACCGAATCATTCATTCAATTGATTCGTTCAAACTGCTGATTAATTCAGGAATGAAGCAAGTGACTTTCTTTATGAATGGGTAATCATGAATCACTGACTCACTAGATTCGTTCAAAAACGCACTTTCATTGAATGAATAAAACTCAGCTGTGTTTGCTTTTAGAGATGCGTAGTGGCTGAGCTGTTACTATATTTGGAACTATTTTCGTTGAAGAAATAGAGCAAAATCAGGCAGTACTTGTTTACTGAACTGTTGTATTAAATCAATATCACATTTGCAAACTCCTTGAATAATTATTAAAAGTTGTCACTCTCGTCACTCTCCTCTGTGGGCGCACAGAAAATGAGAGCACGCAAGTGAGTTCTCAAGACTCAAAAGCACGTGAAGCACGTGCGTTCCGTCATCTGTCATCGTGTAATAAGCGCGGAACCTGCGGGAATGAGTACAATTGTTATTAATAGCCGCAATCCCGCGCCGAAATTCAAGTCCTGCTCTGTGTTCTCTGCTAATAACCCGACTGTGAATGATGCGAGCGGCGTTATGTTGTCACTGAGAAGCTGCAGCCGTGGCCGGGAATGATTTTTGGTGTGCCGGCAGAACAACAACAACAA